AGGTACGTTATAAGAGTAATGGTCAAATCTCACTAACCGGTCAGACAAGAATAGCTCAACAACTGGCAGTTGGCGCTATTAACTAGTTTGAATTATCATCGAAAGCGTTTTGGACAATTGATATGATTTTAATAGTAAAAAAATCACTTATCGAGATTTCTTCTTGTCAAAGAATTAAGTTTTTTTTTTCTAACAGACTACAGGGCTGTGCATAGGAATTTAAATCTGATCGTTATTGTAGGTTGAGCACATTCAACAAACACATATTATATATAAACCATATCAGAACACGCACATATATTATTTGCACAGAAATAAATACCATTAAACTCACTAAAATGACCGAGTTCGTATGCATAAAGCTATGGAGGAGGGGGGGGGGTGCCTGCAGAGGGTGTCTTGAAAAACCAGAACAGAAAACCATGATCGAAATCATACTGAAACGCCGAAAATTCTCGCCCCTATGAGCCCGAGCTGAAAATGCTTTAAGCACTTAGCGACGCCTCTGGGGAGCTGCTTGCCCCCTTGTTGACGCCTCTGACAGACAGGCAACATCTTTTTTTAAGCAATTATATCATAAATATATAAAACCCTGTATTTTAAAACCATAAGTTAGGTTAACGAGTTAACAAATTAAAATATTTTAGAGATATTGACTTGAGTAAATGTAGTTTTTACTGCAGAAAACTAGGCCAAGGATGACCAGCGATTAGCGTGATGGATTATGGATCTGTTGGGATTTCTTCCGAGTTCCTTTACTACAAAAATATCGAACTACGTACTTAGTGGTTATGGGTGTGTTATAAGGGTGACAGTCAAATCCCACTATTCGGTCAGGCAAGAGTAGCCCAAGAGTTTGTGGTGGGTGCTGTTGACTAACTGCCTTACATCCAGTCTGTCAATTCAAAATCAGGGACGAGTAGCGCAGATTAGTTTTTGAGTAGCTTTAGGTGAATATTCGAAAGCAAACAAACTAAAAAAATGTGTTTAAAAAGTCACGTCGGAACTTATACATCACGCCATTCCTCAAAATGGCTGCTTTAGAACAGTAATAAAACTTTGCTATATTATAGTGTCCTTCGTACACAGATAAACAAGATTTTTTCCTTAAATTATCAACATTATCTCCGATCAGTAACTAAAATGTTAACAGTTTAATAAATGTGAATGTCATATCACAAAATGCATAATTGTCTAAAGTTTCAAAGCCATCAAGATGGTGTACGTGTTGTATTTATGTAAGTATAATATATTTAAAATGAGATTACCACTTAAAAATAATCCCCCGAAAGGTGGCCGAAGTTTTTCTGGAAGGATCACCTGTTTTAACCTTTTGTATCACTATACAGTAGTGTGCTGTCTATCAGTCAGTCCACGCTGAAATAACGTCAAATAAGGGACGCTTAACGTTATAATCTGTACTATCGTGACGCCAGTAAAACGTGCGAAATCCATGAATCACGAGAACAATTATGCACTCTGTAGGCTACAAAACAGCATTACATATGAACTTCGAAAGCAAGAAATAGAAATACTTGTTACTCTTAATTCTGGTTTTATTTACTCTTGAGACAGAACACTTTCAGGGACCCTGCACAAGTACATCTACTAAATATTTTTTTTTCTATTCTGGATATTCTAAAGATACTTCTAAATATGTTATTCGCATCTGAATAACCGAGGAATATCTGCTCAACATAAAGCAGTTCAACTGTAAGTTATAATGATTCAGACGAAATGAGATTAATTAAATTAAATATATTTTCATTTAGTTTCATATCAAAGCGCTTGTACTCGAGCTTAATGATATTGTAGACGGATGAATCTACGTTATTTCTTAAAACGACAATATTTAGTTTGATTGTGCTTGGCATATTGCCAAGCAAGTGTTATTTCACTAATAATAGGTTGATATATATAGATTACGTAAAAATAAGATATTTAAACGTCCTTGAAATGCACAACCATAACACACGTATATATATCTCAGCTTTAAACTGAGTAATTTGAAGACCATTAAGTTAACCGGAGAATACAAATAACAAGTAGTATTTTTCATGCATTCTTTTTTGGTTTATCCACGATCCCTAAGAAAATATTTTGACAGTTTTCACTTACATAGTTCTGCTTATTCTTCAATTAAAACTTGAATTTTTAAGATATATTAATTGAGGCTGTATTAATGTATACCGTGACTTTTTTTTTCAGTTAAGAAGAAAAGTCTGAGAACCCGAAGAGAAAAAAAAGACAGTATTTCTTTTTTCATTTATAATAAAACGTTAACAAGCGTTTTCACATAATAAAAAAATGATTTAAGCTCCAGAAAAACAACAACATTGGGCTATTTACGAAAGATTTTATTTCCACCTTCTTGAGAGTGAAACGTTTTATAAGTAATTAATGCAATATAAGCAAGAACAAATTGGAGAATAGGTCATTTCCATTTGCTCCAATGGCTCAGAAGTAACCTTATAGCGCTAATATTTGGGGTTCAATTCCTGTGGTGGGCACAGCTTATTGTGCTACTTTAAGCTTAAAAACAAAACAACAAATTAATCATTTCGACTCACTAAATAAGCTCTATATTTCAGTAATAACTACGTTATATTAAAAGTAAAATGTTCAGAACTTTACCATACATATCTTATTATTTCTCTCTTCATTGAATCAGATTTTAATTTATTCGTGTAATAGCAAGTTTTCTTATTAAGAAATATTATTTGTATAACTGAAATCTGAAACTCAGTGGCTCGTAAAGCTTTACTGTTTCGTATATAAAATGTGCTATGAAGTTACTTTTACAGGGGTAAAAGATGATTGTCATGTAGCATACGTACAATTTTAAGATATATTCGTTCGTAAGCCCCTACCCCACCCCCAGTGGATCAGCGGTAAGTCTGAAGGCGTATGACACTAAAAACCGAGTTTTGATGTTCATGGATAGCCTATTGCGTAGATTTGTGATTATCAACAAACATAATCGTCCGTAAGACCCATTGAATCGTGTAATGTAGTAGTTCCCTACTTGTTATTTTTTTCTTCTTGTTCGTATTATTCTATCATTTTAATAATGTTTTCTTCTTGTAATAATTGTGGACATTACAAATTAAGGCTGGTTGATAGCTGAGATAATGATTATAATTGAATAAATATATATATATACACATCAGGTAAACGTTCATGATAATTTCAAATGAAATATATTTATTAATCAAACATATCAAAGAAAACAATTAAAAGGCTTAATTTCAATATACTAGTTCAATCAGACATTCTTACAAAACCCTCTCGTTAAAAAAAAGAGAAGAGAAACAATTGGTGAATAAATATTTGCAGGTTTAGGTGTGAAGTAATGTGAAAAATGACCTTTTTATTTCTATTTATTATATAAATATAATCACACTTAAATGGACCGTTACAACCATTGTAGAATTTAATTGCTTTGACCTTTTTATTTCCTAGAAACATTACATATACTAACAAAATCGTAAGACATCACTTTGTTAACGTTTTGTTATGACGTGTTAATGAAAAAATGTGTAAAGTTATCAAAACTACTCAGCTACCCGTTTTGAATGACGTGTAATTTTATATTAAAGGTATTGATTTAATTCTAATCTTAAGGATATCGTGTGGAAATAATCTGATGTTCTTAATCCACTTTGTCTGAATGGTGTTTGTTGTCTTCCAAAATTTGTAGTGCATACTGGAAGGATTTACACATTTTGATTAAAGCTTAAAAAAACTACCTTTACTCTCCAGATAAATATAAAATAATATATTTTTATTTTAATCAACGTTTCGCCTTTGCGGCTTATCAGGGTTAATATACACAACTGTTGTGTCCATTAACCCTGATGAAGCCGCAAAGGCGAAACGTTGGTTGAAATAAAAATATATTCTTTTTATATTTATCTGGAGTGTAAAGGTTGTTTTCTAAACGTTTATCATAATGAAAACATTACTGTCATCGACCTCTGGAAACTAAGAAATTCGTTATCCTGTAAACGGAGAGTTCTCGATGCATACAAAGTATACAAACCACTTGTTTTCGACAAACAAACATTAAATTCAGAACACTATCAATTATATCTAGTTATAGATCGGTGGATTATTTTAAAAAACTATACACTTTTCAATTTTCAACATTTTCTCACTGGATTAGGAAAAGTGTTATTCCTATAGAATAAGTAGAGTTGAATACATTTCTCTTTATATATTTACCAATATATTACATAAATTACTAGTACTAGTAGTATTTCTATTCTTGTTTCACATAACTTGTACTATCCGTCACAAAGGAGATAAGTTTTAATTAGAAAAATGTTTTGATTTAAAAAAGAGCAAACTTGTATTATGCTTGATTTTGTTATATCACTAAAATCATTTTGTTTTGCAATTCCTTACTTTGTATCTTAATTTCGTTGAGTACTAAATTAGAACCATCCTTATGAAATCTAATTCTATATGTAGTAAATTGATATATTCACTGTACAAATAGTTTTTATATGATAACCAAAAATCACTGGAAGAAGACAGTGATTTGTTCAGAAATTAAACTTTTCGCAGCAAAACAGATCAACTTTGATTTTTTCTACCAGCTTTCAATTAAGAACGATGCTTAATTTAACTCAGCTTCACCACTAACTGACTAAGCGTTCAGAGAAAGTCCTGTTTTCGTCCGGTGATATCTTCACAGTCTGTTTCCAATATAAGGGCACGTTGGGCTCTGTAAAGTAGTTTAATGTCCATTTTCACAAATATGTAATTATCCTTACGGCATGTTATTCTATTTTAAACTAAAAACGTGATTTTGATAGTTATTAAAGTTCTAAAGAATAAGTACATACTAAAATAGATTACCGCGAAGTCCAACACTGCTTCTTAGTCTAGATCTGCATTAGCTCAGGTTAAGTACAGACGCATTGCAGGTACAACAGAACCAATCGTGACTCCACCAGCAAAGAACAATTCTGTAGTGTCCGCCACAAACGATAGGCCGTGGCGCACCTTAGGGTTTATCACCACCAGGGTGCTCCGCATTGAAATAAAATTCCCCTGTTCATTCAAATATAAAACGAAGGAACGATATTTACTTGAAGTTATTGTAAACCCTGGAGTAAGTGATAATAAGAGGATCTCTTCTGTAGGTCATTTTTGATATTAACTGTGTTTTAAACAAAGATACATAGGTTTGTGTAGGAATACACATCAAGGAGTGTACCAAGAAGCATCTGCGTTCTATTTAGAATTCTGTGAATTCTATAGAGCAGACGATAGTGAGTGTGCAGAAGTTCAGCGTTAAAGTACTATTAAATTATAGAAGCAGAACTAAGACTATTGAAATAATGGTATGTATTTACTATTAAGACATTATTTTATGGTAAAGTATACTAGAAACATTTTAAAATTTACTGCAACTAAAAACTGTTGTTCGTGTAATAATGACTTATAGTTATTAATTCTACAAATTTAAAAGCAAGTTTAAAAACACGATAGCGATACCTAGTTAAAATACTCAGTCTGAATTTCTAATATTAATAATAATATTACTAGTAGTACTATACAATACTACTAATAATAATACTAGTCTTAGTGATAAGTTAGTTTTAACTTCGTTGAACTTAAATTGTACTTGCAGAACTAGTAGTGGAAGTCAGAACATTTCCTAACGTGTCATTATTCTTGTGTTACGTAGCATGTTATTACCCCTTAACTTAAGTTATAGTTATACTATACTCAATAGTTATATTTATAACTTATATTATTGGAAGTTTTACTACTAGTAGTAGTAGTAAAACCTCTAATTATATAAGTTAAGGATTAATGATGTGCTAAATAATAAAAATTATTACTAGTTTAAATTAAGCAAATACAATGTACTTATTATTGATAATAGTAACAGTAACTAGAGTCTACAGAGTAACAAATTAGAACAATTATTGTAGGAAATTATGAGTAGTGGTTGGTAAAACAGATAAAAAGAAGTATGTTGTAGGTCAAACCATTAGGTTTGACCTACAAGTTAACATACATAGAACAATTAGGCTAGTAGTAGTAGATGGTTTTGTTGGCCAAACATATTTATTACTATAATTATAAAGTATAATATTAGTATTACCGAACAAAATATTTTGATTAAGTAATAAGAATGCCTTTTCACACTAAAAACTGTAATTTATAGTAATAATTGCTTTGGGTGCTAATAATAGGCCATAATACTAGTACTACTACTCTGAGTACAAACACTACTAATATAGTATGTGGATAAAAGTCAGAGATAGCCTGAAATAGCTTTTAAAATATGTTCAGACAAGCAAAATGCCTTTCTTGTACTTACTCAACCCATGGGGCAGTTGTCAACGTAAATCAATCTAAATCGAAAATACTTGCACCACAAAAAAGAGAGTCCATTAGTACAAGAAAAAGGCATTTTGTTTTTCTGAACACATTTCAGTTGCTACCTCCAACACTTTGGGGGGGGGGGGCAAACATGGCCCAAGGGGTAGCTGTCAACCTAAATTGGCTGAAAATACTTGCACCATAACACGTAGTCCATAAGTACAAGAAAAAGGCATTTCGTTTGTCTCTACACATTTTAAGAGCTACCTCCAACTTTTACCAATTGCTCTACTGATACTATGCTTAAATGAACAATGTCAGTAACTATAATATAGGATTATGAAGTAGCTTTAGCCAATTTCAGAATTTGGGCCCTTGGGTATAGAAATTAAATGAGTTGGTAAGGTTAGTATTGCTCTACTGATACTATGCTTAAATGAACAATGTCAGTAACTTTATAATATAGGATTATGAAGTAGCTTTAGCCAATTTCAGAATTTGGGCCCTTGGGTATAGAAATTAAATGAGTTGGTAAGGTTAGTATGAAAAATGTAAAGTTTTATTAGTTGTAGTAACACTCAACTAACAGTTAATAACTTGAAGACCAGTGAAATATTTAAGATTCAGCTTATAGTTATAATAATGGGCTTACAAATTGCAATCCAGTGTAACTTGTGCAAGTTATAATGTGTAAAGAAATCCTAAGTGTTGAGTGTTATTATATTTTAATACCCTAATATACTTAGCAGTGCTGTTACTGTTACTAACAATATCAAGTACTACTAATGTGTAATTGTTTATAGTCTTATGCTGTATAGCTCCTGCTAGTAGTGGTATATTGTAGTAGTACTATATTACAATGCTTAATTGATTTGCAAGCTGAAAAGTAATGTGGAAACCTAAGTTACCATATATTTAATTAGGCTGCATACAAGTAAGTCTTAATCCTATCTTGGTTAAGATGTATCTCAAAATTTGTACCTTTCTCAGCTATTTTCTTCTAATGTTATTATGTTGCAAAGGTAATATAAATGACCATTGATTTAAAAAATTTTTATTTAACCCTATTGCTATTAGGCTTTGCAGTCGTTTTAATTAAGTTTCATACAATACTTCAATATAGGAATTTCTAACTTGTGATTTTCTTGTTGGAAATTTTATTTAAGTTTGAATCTTAAGTCTTCAACTTGTATTGTTGTAGAAGTACAGTTCTGCTGGCTTCTGTCAACAAAACTATTGTTTAGTTAAAAACTGTTTGAATTGTTATTATTGGCAAATTGAGGTTGGGGGGGGGGATTTAATAAGTATAATAAGACTGCTCTGTCAGAATTGTTTCTCTACATTTATATAAGTAAAATACTTAGCTTTTTTTTAGATGAGCAAAAGTCTTGTCTTTTTATAGGAAATTAGATGCTGACGTGCTCATAACACTAATAGTGTGTCCTACTATTTAATCTTATTTTCTGAATGTAAGACATAAAAGTAAATTTTTTTTTCCACCATTTATATGTTGCCTTTATTGTAATGAACTGTTTCCATCCACTTACAATAAGGAGCCACTATATACAAAAAAAATATTCTTATTTAAAGGTGTTTGCTATAACACTGAAGGAATTCTATGAAGCACTCAATCATGTCACAATGTTCATAAGCAAAAGTGTTTTTCTAACTGTATGTTGCTAGGGGTGCTGCAACAGTTTCACCAAATGAAGAATAATTAAGAATATAAGAAAAGTTTACATAAAAAAAATATGCGTGTGGTAGTAGGGGTGTCATTCAAATCAAGGTAAGTGGGATAGGATGTTGCCAGTGAAAAAAGCTCAGAACCCACTGAGCTAAAGAAATGCACTGACCCAAAACTAATAAACCTTAAAGGCTTGAGTATACATTGCCGCTAGCACTGACTGAAATTGCATGTAATTGTTCAAATGTTGTCATTGTACCATTCTTGCTTCTCAGTGTGCTTGTGTCTGTTGTACCTATAATTTTGGTGTTGAACAGTACTTTAAACTTTGTAAACATTTTAGATAATTATCAACCATATGTATTGGTTAAGTTAACTTCAATATTTCGCTAATAACTTAAATGACAGGAACTACATAACTAAGAATTGCCACACAAACTTGTCAGGCAGTTAGAAACTTTTTTTCTTAAATATTATGGTTTTATTATGTTGTTCATTTCATCAAATGTTTTAAATGGAACATTACATTTTACTCTTCTGACCCAGTTCTTTGTTATGAGTCTATTTAATAGCAATACACCTCTGCCTTGATACAACTGGTCATCAGGATTCATGATTTAAGATTTCACTAAAAAATAGGTCATGATGTTTGACAGTTTGACTATAAAAAATATTCCACCAATCTGTTTTCATGCTAACATGGTATTCATAGTGAGTTTTGAGTAGTTGTGTTGTATCTACTCTTTGATTTGCATGTTGAATTATTATAACCTCAGTGAACTAATTTTAATTTATGCTTTTAAACCAATAGTTTAAAGCTATTTATTTATTTTATTTTCACATTCCAATTTTCATTACACAGTGATTATATGATATTCAAGCATTGTAAAAATAATTTTAATTTTTTAAGTTATGCAAAATTGAATTGTGAATGTAAATATGTTTTAAAGTTATGTTAGATGTTTTAATATTTGTATTGAGAATAGTATCAGTAACTATTAACAAATGTTAACAGTAAGGAGTTAGTTGAAACTTCATGCATTCAATGAAAATGTGAATCAGACATTAACAAAATGTATTGAGTTGGTTTGAAATAGAAATGAAAAGTGTGTACTACATCAGGGCCAATCGGTCCAATGCTGACATTCATAAAACTTGTCTGTGAAATTGGTAAACATGATTAGAGAAACAATAAAATTTAAAGTAAAACGAACATGAAACAAAACTTTTGTTTTTTCCCCTTAAAAAAATTTTTCATGGAAAAATTGGGATCTATGACCTTAGTTTTATAATGGGAAATGTGCTAAAATGGGCCATGTTGTATCAAGGCAGAGAAGTATTAATTTTTGACTTAACAAAATAATCTTTAACTTAATTTTGTCTGACTTCCAAAACATTTTGGTTAATAATAATATATTATTGAGACAAGCACAATGACGGAAGACTATTTATTCCATTGATGACTGTTGCCTATAATTTCTAGATGGCAAATCATCTAATTGTCACCTCTGTTTAACATCCAAATTTATATTCAACAAAAATTTGAACTAATCTAAATTGTATGTATTTATATATATTTAGTTATATATATATGTTTTAGTGGTAGAATCCCGTGCCAGACAAACAAACTAAAAATATACTATATATATATATATATATATATATATATATATATATATATATATATATATAGTACGTATACGTA